ATACACCTGAGGTTGATTTATAATAACCTGAAGTGTAAAATGACACACCTTAGGTTGTTGAATAAATACTTCCACAAGTGTAAAAAAATATACTTCAGGCTGATAAGTAATAACCTAAGATTGAAAAAGAAACACTTTAAAGTAGTAAATATCTACCTCTTCCCAGATGTAAAATTAAACATCTCAAGTTGAAACATATATACCTCTGGAGGTATATTTAAGGTATATTTGAGGTTGGTTTTGAGGTATTCATTTGCACCCTTTTTAACCTCAACGACGTATTTAAATAACAACCTCCTTTCTACCTTTAAAATATGCCTCATTTATACCTCGATTTTTTCATAAGGGAAGGGTGTGCGATATTGGTCCTCGTTAAACTGTTCTACAGTAAAGTGCTCGACTTCGCGTGCAGGTCGTGGGGCTACCGAAGCAGGGCCGCCATCCCCTCTGCAGAGGATCAAAATTGTGATGGCATGTCTTCGGATTATCCTCAGGGATGTTTCCCAGACCGTCGCCAATAGCCCATTGTGCAGCTCTGGTGCGACGTAAATGCAATACAACTACAACGAACTATGAAACGTCGCCTTTTAGAAGTCAAAACGATCTTTTTTTGTTATATTATGCCAACCAAGAAAATTTGTTTTACTTCTGTGATAATTGCCCGCTGACAGGTATTGTAATAACAGCAATATTGTAATAAAAGCATATTGGGGAGCACTTAACGTTTATCCATCAAAAATTATTAAAGGAGAAAATAAAGAATTTATCACTTTGTCTCAATATGTACAATGTAAAGTTTTTTTTTTAATGCTTCTTTTCAGAATGCGAAATTTCAACGCGCATAATACAATAGTTTAATACCAAGTTAAATAACCCAAAGAGTATTTCAAATAAACAAAAACATACCAGGCAGCAACATTTAAAACTAACCACTCTTTGTCTTATTGTAAAGCTGTAAATGTATGGTATGCTTTCCGTTATGTGCCCCAACTGATCCTTTACCCTATATCTTCCACAATGGTCTATGTCTTGTAAGATTCAGCCCACACCTATCTCCAAGACGCAAAGAAAAATCCTTTGAATTCAAAACTCGGAATTAGGGCAGTAAAATGTGCCTAGCACCATTCTGTAACTGTGTAGACGACAGTTCTTCCACGGACTCAGTTTGGCTTCCAAAACTATTTTGAAGAAGCCAATCAAAGAAGCGTAATGTTACGAGAATTAACGAGACAAATCTTTCCAAATGAGTTCGCGATTTAATTCTAATTTATCTTCTTGTCACCTGTAACGTTCCATCAATCGGTGAATTCAAAAAGAGAGAATCGACAGACAGACGTTACTCATTAAAATTCTGGATTTTGTTAACTTCATAGGTTTTTGTTTACACTTTTTTCTGTAGCTACGCGCCGATTCGTCAGTGGGTAGATTCGTCAGTGGGTAGATCAGTCAGCAATGTGTGTCATAAGTGATTAGCATGTACTTTCTTTTCCAAGTGATTTTTAATAGTTAATGAACGCTTTGACGCAGATAGAACACTGATGTCTCTTTTATATACTGTTTTCTGGTGCTCTCTAATAACAAACAAAAAAATATTTTTTATTGTTAAAAAAAATCTGAAGTTAATAAAAAAAATCTACTGAATTCTCGGAATTATATGTGTGCTAAGACATAGGGCCGTGGTAGCCCAAGAGGTTAGTAATGGCATGTCTTCAGATCATCCTTAGGTCTATTTCCCATACCGCTGCCAACAGCCCATTGTGCAGCTCTAGTGCAAGGTAAACTAAGTACCAATCTACCAAAAAAAGTAGTTTGAAATGTTTTTTTCATTCATATTCGAAAATTTATAAATATTTGATTTTGAAAATTAAAGAAATTTCAATGATGAAAGACAGTTTTTTAGATCTAAGAAACTGCAAATTTGAAACATTGTTTGGAAGTGAGCCATCTTTGACAAAAAAAAAAAAAGATAGCCATGTTCTCTGCTTTATTTCATAACCACAAATTATAAAATGCTAAGTACAATATTTTTCACTTATTTTGACATAAATGAATGCAAAATAATAAAAATAGTAGGAAAAATATGCTAAATAAAAACTATGCTGTTGATTTACGTCGCACTAGAGCTGCACAATGGGTTATCTGCGACGGTCTTGGAAACATCCCTGAGGATGATCTGAAGACATGCCATCACAATTTTGATCCTCTGGAGATGGGGACGACCTGCACGCAAAGTCATGCACTTTACGGTAGAATAGTTTAACGTGGACCAATACCGCACACCCTCGGTCCCTACGCTGACTGATCCAAGTGGTCACCCACTACACTGACAGCAGCCCGTGATGATTTACTTCGGGGATCTGCTGGTCTGAGCGATAAGTCCACTGCGGGACTTAAAAATTCTGCTTCAAAAGGTTTAGTGATTGATAAGAAAGTAATGTAAACTAACTAGACAGTAAGATAAACATGGTTAATTGCCTGTTTTTAGAGTTCTGCTTTCCTCACCTAGAAATAGACTGTAGTGTTATGCTCATTCGATTTCTGTACATGAATGATTTAAAAAAAAAAAAACACTTTTTCATCCTTTTAATTTTTTATTTGAAAAAGCAGTTTGTAGTACAAAATATTAACAATATGAAATGTCAACGAAATATAAAATAATGATGCAAATTACAATATATAAAATTCAAAGGGTGTTGTGTTATTCTAATAGAGTATTGTTAGTAGATTTTTCAAAAATGTTCAGTTTGACTAGAACTTAAATGTTTTCAAACTAAATTTTCAGAAATGTACTAAGAAAATACAGCACCAAATGATTATAAATTCATATAAATACATTCAAAGATTTGATAAATTTTTCTTTTTTTCAAAATGCTATTGCGTCAGAAATAAAGTGACTTTCGTAAAAAAGGCACTACTTATTTTAGTATCTCAATTCCAAAAAAGGTAGAGATAAAAAACAATATCTTAAAAACTGTAAATAGACACCTTATTTGTGGAAGTATAATTTTGTGGACAGCTACTTTTTAAAAAAATGTAAAATCTAGTTTATAAAAAAGATTTGGCAACACCATTTAAAATGTTTTAAAAAGTATGTGTAAATTACTATAAACTTACAAACAGTGGGCTTTTGAAAAAAATGCATTCGATTTGAAAGTTACTTAGATATTACTCGTTTAAACATAGAAACATCTAAAAAAGAAAGAAAAAACTTAATTCGGAACACCCAATCAGTTATGAAAATTAGAGCTGGATACATAATTTTTTCTATGCAGCAATTTTCATGATACATCGCCAATACCAATATAGATTTCTTATACAGGGTACTTAAAATGAACAGAGTGTGCTCAAAGGCTCGTAGTTCCGGTTCTGCTTAAAGGATTCAAAGGAAATTTCAAATACATGTTATGAGGCAAAGGTTACCACCAGAAAAATGTTTTTTGAAATTTTGCCTATAGAATGCCCGGTTTACTAAAACATGCTAATAAATAGCCCATGTCACTTCGTATAATAAAGATTTAGAGGCCAGCATGATCACCAGATATTAACTCTAAGGACATTTCGTTATTAGGTTTTCTCAATGATTGCATTTCACAAAGATATGTAATTACTTAAGTGGACTTGAAAAACCAGCAATGACAACTATGCTTTTATTTATGCTGATATGTACAGATGTTGATAAAGTGGTAGTACACTTAGAATAGTATTTGATTGACAAGACATGCACATAAAGCACACACAAGTGTTAAATATTAAAAATATCGATTTTTTGAACTGTTATTTTAATTTTTCTTTGTTACAGTGCCACAGATAGGGGAAATTTCACATTTTTATTCTAATGGAAACCTTTTAGCATAACCAGCATAACATACATCCAAATATTCATGTGAACATACATTAAATCTTCCTTCACTGTTTTGTAGAACTGGAGCTTTAATTTTAAAACCCACTAGAAAGATTCTTGTTTAAAGTAAAGTTTCTCATTCCATACAAAAAATTTCCATAAGCTTAAAAGTGAAAAAAAAAAGTGAAGTAGCAAATTAATGCTACTAACTTTAATCATTATTTTTATTCTTTCTGCAAAATTATTCAAAGTTTATTTTTTATTTTTTTCAGGGACTTTTATACGACCCGTTCAACTGTTGAAGTTCAAATTATCTCTTGCACACCAATTTACAAATTAAAAATACTGAAAAAAAAATATATATACTATAATAAAATACCATTTAATATATGCGTAAAAACAGTTGGAAAACCATATTACAACTTAATGTTATCCAGCTCTAATTTTCAACTTGGGCTTAAATATAGATAAGATATTTACAGATTTAAAAAAAAATAATAATTTTGTCAATGAGGACCAATTCATTACAGCATTTAAAATGATCAATAATCAGGGAAAATGTAAAGCTCTGCTTTATAAAGGAACTGATGGATTAATTTTTAAAAAAAAATACACAAAAATTTGATCAAATCAGAAACATTGATTATAATAAAACAGACAGGAACAAATTAACTTTTGATTCGGTTTCATCAATTTAAACTGCTTTTATGGACGCTGTAATGAATTGCAGATATACAATTGGAGGAAAATTTGATATGAACTAGCACATACACTTCTACACTACAATTTGCTACTTTATATTTTTTAAAGGAAAAAAAAAACATCTCAATCCTATACAGTGCTTATGTGTCCTTTATGTCACAAACTGCACAATAAAAGTTGCGTACATTCACAACCTATATAGTCCACCATATGCAATGAATCAAGATATAAATGTTATCATTGCGCATAAAAGCTTTTTCAGAAAAATTTAATACTTCCAGGTGAGAGGGTGTAGAATAGGACTACATTCATAAAAGTTCCTTCACGGGACACAAACTTTACATAATGTAATATACACATCTTATGGCATCATTCTTTATTCTCCTTGAACGGTCAATTCATTTACTTGACCATGGCCATCTAACTCCACGACAGGCTGCAAAATTAATAAATGTCAACTATAAATACTGAACATAAAATGTGCAAAATTTTATATTTAAACAGTGTGTTCTGTAATAACCAGGGCTAGGATTTTGAACATAAATAAATACATCTTTTTCATTTTAGATTGTTAATTCCCTTACAGGAAATGCATTTGTTTTGGTCATTATTCTTTCAGATTTTTTTCCCACCTTTTTTTTCTAATTTTGAGAGTAATTTGTTTGTGAATAAATTTTTTTCTTGATCAGGGTGCGTAGCCAAATCTTTCAACAAAAAATGAGAACCTTTCAAGTACTTTTTAAGCACTCAAAAAATATTTTTCAGCACTATATACAATAGCAAAATATTTTTCAAAGACTTTAGATGATCATGAGAAAATAACTAGCTTCTGACAAAGAACTCTTTTCTTAATTATATTAGCCGTTATAAAATGATCAGATATTTTTCGGTTCGATATCGGAGGGTGGAAAATGAAGTCTGAAATCGAGAACATCTTGCAAAATGCAGCAGAGTTGCACATGAGAAGGCAATAATCTCACCAAACCCAGCTCACATAGGGATTCGTAAGCATTTCATCAAATATGTAAAATGACTGGCGCTTTCATACGCTATAGACCGATGGCACGCCGAAAGGAATTCTGAAAATGTTGAATAGAGCAATGTGAAAAGCAGGCTTTTGCATAATATGTGGCGAAAATCGACATGGTAACGAAAAAAAATCTCATTTTTGAAAAGAGAATATTAAACACTTTTTCAAAAACCCCAATGAAAAAAAGCACCTTTAAGTACTTTTTAAAAACGCTACGCACCATGTTAATAAATCAGTGAAATTTTCCATTGAATCTTGTAATATAAAATATCTTTTAATAAGAAGTGATGTTTAACAGAGTTTTTAATGGTATAAGTAATAGGAACAACAGGAATACAATAGGAAATCTGTAATCTGTTAATAAATCTTTAAATTGAAAGATTCCCTATTGTTTTAAAGAACATCAAAAAGCATTTGACAATACACTGAAATTCTTTTCTTCTTTAAAGAATAACTAAAAATTAAAAATTCTTTTCTTCATCAGGTATTTATTTGTATTTTAATATTTTAATATAAAATTTCATATTTTAATTTCCTTATTTTTTATTAAATTGAAAAAAATAAATAAACAAGGTACAATTGATATTTTTTTTTAAAAAAAAAACTAACTTAAAACATGTTCTTAATAAATTTTTAAAGGCATTATTTTTCATTTAAAAGTCAACCAAACATGACTACAGACTGATGTTTTTAGAATTTTTTTCAAAATTAAAATCAAAAACGTTTACACGTAAGTCTCAATTAATACTGCAGCAGGGAGAAAACAAAAGCAGCTCCGAAACATAACAAATCATTACTGAAGAAAAACAAAAAAAAAAAAAAAAAAAAAATTAAAACGTCAAAAAAAGTATTAAATTTCGATAGCTTTTATGATATTTTTTTCTCCCTCATTCTAGAGTGATTTTTGTCAAAGCTAGAAAAAATCTGTACAAAATTTTTATTTCAATAGGAATTTTTTAAGGAAACTTATACAATTTTAGGGAATTTTCTAAAATAAGCGAAAACCAGCAGAATTTTAATTAAACTAGTAGAAACTGGCTAAATCCAGTAGTCTACTGGAAAATCCAGTAAAGTTCGCAGCTATGCATAGGACATTTTAATAAAATTTCTGTTTTCCAAAGTATTTTTACATTGATTTACTATTATCATTAAATGCTTTTTTTTTTATAAAAAAAATAGATTGGAAAAAGTGACCAGTTGTTTATTTTAAGTCACCACGTTTTGTTGCCTCGTTATGCGGCAAGTTGTTATTTTCAGGTTACATCTGATTACAAGATATTTTTTGATTGCAAGCATCTAGTGATAAATTGTGGCAACCAGAGAATGGCCATTAGAAGTCATTATCTGATGTTTGTAATCTTCGACAAACAGTATAAGTATCTTTTACAACTCCCGGAAATGAATAAGCGCATAAAAAGACATGAAAAATATTTAGCTAGTTAGATGTATACAATTGATAACAAAAACGTGTAATAGGCTTAAAAATTAAACTACACAATCAAGAAAACTTTTACCTGGTTAGTTAAAAGCAAAAAATAACTATTTTCTTTTTAATGATAAAAAAACTTTGAAAAACTAAAACACTAATTCTGATTTAGTAATTAGTATTACCTATAAATTATTTAAAGTATTAAGTTAATAACTTAATAAACTATTTGTGCCATTTTTTAAGCTGAGGACAGGAAATAAAATTTTGATCAATTAAAGTTTAATACAACAAAATAAAATTTATAAAAATTTATTTATTCTGTGGAGAGTATTTAGAATTTTGGTCAATCCCTCGTCATCCTGGTCGGGTAATTTATATCATTGAGAGAACACTGCCAGCCAAATATTGGGGGAAATGAAAATTTTTCAGGGTAAAATATATTAGAACATGAAATTACAATCCTTTTAATATAATATGAACATTGATTTCTGTATAATAAAGACATTATTAAATTGTGTGATCATAATGAAATATATTACAATTTTTTTAATTCTATATATGTATCAATAATAGAAAATAGATAATGTTATTTATAGAATTATATAATATAGAATTTATTAATATAAAATAATAATAACATAATATTCATAGAAGTTATAATGAATATTTTCGTTCGCTATAATTTCTGAGAGGAAGGGTGGGATGTTATAAATTACACTTACATATCTTTATATAAATGCTACACATATCTAATAAAATATAATATATATATATATAATCATTTAAATATACNCACCTTTTGAAAACATGCTTTAGAGCGATGGAAACGAAACTCCTCACTTTAACGCCACACAACTACCCTTCTAAGCTAATCGACTTTTTTTTCCACTCTTCACATCGACAGCAGCCCCACCTCACAGCTCCCATATCTAATTTGCGCATGCCCGTCCTTCTGTGAGTTTAAAGGTTAAGTTGCCACTATTTAATTTACAACCCTCGTACATTACTATCTGAAACCTATAACTTACTTGGCTTTCATCAATAGTCCAGGTTCCATCCACAAGGTATTTAATGTGATATTTTCCTTGAGGTAGTTTCAACTTAGTTGAAAAAGCACCATCCCTTAAAAAAAAATTATAAATAAATATAAATAAAATTAATAGTAATGGAACTGTGGAAAAACATTTTACTTAAATAAGTTTAAAGTGGAGAGAAATTGTGTTTCCAATAAAAAAAAAAATTTTAATATATTTTTAGATTACATGCATTATTTTTTTCAATGAAAAAAAAAAGAGTATTAGTATATTGCGTCCATCAGGAGAGCTCCTCCAGACATCAGTCTGGCATCGTGATGGGTACCATGGTTACGAGGAAAAGTCACTTTGAATAATGTGTGGGGTGAACAGTTTTGTTTTGATCTTGGCATAGGTCAGCGTGAGTAAAACACTTGACGCCTTCATTCCTCCGTTACACCATCATTAGAAATGTTCTCTCGCTTGTTACCATAGCAGCAGATAGCTCCAGACTTTTAGTCTAAAGGAGCTATCCTCAAAGCAGCACTATACATTGATTGTAAAAACTTCTTTCCTTATTCAAAATATCAAAACAAAAAATTTGATTTATTACTATGCACAAGTTTTGATCAGCATTCTAGATAATATAGGAATTGCATCAAGCAACAAATTGATAATAGGGTGTTTTACACATAGACAATAGACCAACAATGCAATTGCTCAATTAAGACAAAAACAAAATTTCTTCTAATTATAATTTGTAGCAGCACACAGTAGTAAAGTCAAAAAGGTAGAAAACCTTACCCGGAGATAACGCTTATGATCGAAAATATTAATTTAAGAAAATCTTTTAAAAATATTAATGATAATTATGAAAATCATTTAAAAATAAATTAAGACCCAAATTTGGATTTAGAAGTCTGTATTCAAATAGAATAACATTTCAATGAAATAAATTAAAAATATTATTGAGTTACAGCACAAAAAAAAAGGAAATTGTATTCATATAGTTCTCCTTAGATTAATATAAAGTTCAATCTTTTCTCTAAAGATGATTTCACATGTAACACAGGAAGTAGCTATTAAAATATCACACTTATAAATTACTACTTTGTTTATTCATGTACCAATCAAGAGATTAAATATTAATAATTTCTCGAAAAATATGGATATTTTAAGATTGCTTTCTTACAATTAAAATTTAAAAAATTATATTTTAAAATCGCTAATTTAGTTTTTTTTAAAAAAATGCTTACTGCAAATTAAGAACACAATTGTCACCCCATTGGTTGAAATCTCCAGAAATTTCAACTCTATTAGCCTCTTTTTTCCACGAAATCAAAGTAGGGATTTCAGCAGTACCATTTTGATCACCATTGACAGTTCCATTTGTAACCTGTAAAAAGAAAAGCTACATAAATAAACTTCACTACCATAAGTTTTTATAGGCAAATCTGAAACATACAAAACTATAATGCTATTTTAGACAAAGTGTTTTAAAAATCTTTCTCACACCACCCTTTTAACCTTCTAAGCCTTGGAAGTCTTTATAAAAATTTTACTAAAATACGTAATCGGGTGAATTAGGGGTTATTGGGACAAGACATTGCATAGCTAAACAATACCTAAAACTTAGGTTAACATTTTGCATATTACGCCAAGTCTGGCAAAAACCAATCCTGGTGCACTCGTTGGACCAGCCGAAAGAAATGCAGGTAAAAAGATATTCAAAATTAAAAGTCAAACTGATGGATGCAATCTAATGTCTTAGAGGTGTGAGAACAAGTTATCGTGAGGTTTATTTTCTAATTGATAAAAGCAATAATTTTAAAGCTACAGAAATTGCATTCTTAGAATTTTAAATTTGTTACACTATATCAACATAGGTTTCACAGTAAGTGATTGTAGCATTCTGTAGCAAGATCGTTTAACAAAAGGTCTGATCAACATTTCGATGCAGGAAAACCAGCAACTGAAAGTTGTAGGAAAGACAGGATTGCCATTTAAATAAGGTTAATGATCATAAATGTGAAATACATTTAATATGTTGAGCAACTGAACAACGAAGGTGTGAATTATTTCATTTAAATCACTATTCATTTCTAATTATTTATTTGAAATTTCAAGATAATAATTGGTTACTATTCCAGACAGTCACTATTCTGGGACCTACATGAAACTGTACAGGCTATTAATCAATCTTGTAAACATAGCATCTAATGTACACTTTAATAAGAAGTTTCTTTAAATAAATTAATCAACTGATGTTAAAGCATAAACATTTACCTCATTTTGCACAATGTCCCCATTAACCTCTCCATTTACTTTAGTTTCTGTTGGGGCAGGAGAAGTTGGTTTATCTGCTTCTGTTGGTGTTGTTTCTACAGGTGATACTGGGACAGATTTTTGTTCTTCTGAAACTATTTCTACGGGTGATTCATTTTTTGGACTTTCTGGAGGTGCTGGCAAATTTTCTTGAATAGAAGATGCTTCAGTTTTAATTTCTTCTACCGGAGTTTCAGCTTTTGTTTCTTCTATAGGAGTTTCAGCTTTAGTTTCTTCTACGGGAGTTTCAGCTTTAGTTTCTTCTACGGGAGTTTCAGCCTTAGTTTCTTCTACGGGAGTTTCAGCCTTAGTTTCTTCTACGGGAGTTTCAGCTTTAGTTTCTTCTACGGGAGTTTCAGCTTTAGTTTCTTCTACGGGAATTTCAGCTTTAGTTTCTTCTAAGGGAGTATCAGCTTTAGTTTCTTCTACGGGAGTATCAGCTTTAGTTTCTTCTACGGGTGTTTCTGCTTTAGTTTCTTCAATGGGGGTTTCTGGTTTTGTCTCCTCTACAGGGGTTTCTGCTTTTGTTTCCACTACTGGGATAGCTGCCTTAATCTCTTCTACGGGGGATGCTACTTTTTCTTCAACAGGGGATGCTACTTTTTCTTCTACAACAGGGGATGCTACTTTTTCTTCTACAACAGGGGATGCTACTTTTTCTTCTACAACAGGGGATGCTACTTTTTCTTCTACAACAGGGGATGCTACTTTTTCTTCTACAACAGGGGATGCTACTTTTTCTTCTACAACAGGGGATGCTACTTTTTCTTCTACAACAGGGGATGCTACTTTTTCTTCTACAACAGGGGATGCTACTTTTTCTTCTACAACAGGGGATGCTACTTTTTCTTCTACAACAGGGGATGCTACTTTTTCTTCTACAACAGGGGATGCAACTTTTTCTTCGACAACAGGGGATGCAACTTTTTCCTCTACAACAGGGGATGCAACTTTTTCTTCAACAACAGGAGATGCTACTTTTTCTTCAATAGGAGAAGCTGCTTTAGTTTCTACAGGTGCTTGCGGCTGTGCTTCTACAGTTGCATCTGGTTTCACTTCCACAGGGGTCTCTGGCTTTGCTTCTACAGCCGTTTCTGTCTTAGTTTCAGCAACAGACTCAATTTTAGCTTCAACTTGTGTTTTTTCCTTTGATTCCTCAGCAACAGGAGATGCTTCACTAGTGGGTGACTGAACCTCAGATATGACAGCAACACTTGGTGCTTCTTTACCAGGACTGTCCTGAACTATGTCAGTTGGTGCATCGCCAGATGTTGCACTTTGAGTCTCTTCCTTCTTAACTTCAGTTTCTTCTGCACTTTTAGTTCCATTTTCAGTAATTGCAATGTCATCTTTCTTCTCCTAAAACAAAGCAAAAACATTTAATTTATAGTGTTGTGTTCAACTGACATGTGATTCATTAGATACAAATATACAACTAATTATTGAAATTCTAAATAATAAAAGCTATCTACAATTGAAATTGTTTATAAAATATCAGTTTTAATGCGATATATAAGATCAAATATGAATATTTTTAAAGTATAGATATACATACAGCTTATATCTACATCATTTTTTATGATTGAAATTACCAAAAGTATCATATTGCTAGATAAAAAGTTTAGGTGAGAAATAAAATTTAAATTCACAACTAGAAGATTTCTGAAATGAAAAAAAAATTACATTAATTACTTTTTGCCTAAAATACAAAAACTTTTCTGGTGATAAACAACGAAGTTAGGGGTTTTCGATTACATGATATGCAATACAAAATAATTAAAAAAACAAAATGATTTAAAAGATTTTTCAATATTGCATCTCTGCAAAATTAAAATAATATTTAAACAAAGTGTAGGTTAATACTGAGAAATCTGTAGCGCAAAAAAATTAAGTTAAAATTTAGCGCTTGAACTCTGCAATTATCCAACAGTAAAATATTTATCAAACATTTCACTTATAAATGTGACCCAATTACAACTGAAAATGCTGAAAAAGCAGGGAGATGTAAATTTTTAATTGCATTTATATTACCTTTTCACCTCTGTACAGCGATTTTCCCCAATATTTACTGAACTGAGTTTAAATTGAGAAAACTGAATAATAATTATGGGAACTAAGGTCCAGGTGATAGTTAGCGTATAATTGAGAAAAATATTCCTTTGCAACTACTATTAATCTATGTTTTTAGAGGCACAGATATACACAAGGGTATTTTACCATACTATAAAAAAATTAACCCTTTGACAATGAATTTTAAAAAATGATTTTTTTGTTCAGTTTATTATTCAAAACGTTAAAATAGGTCACAAATAAGGCAAATTTAGTATTTGCTATTTTTCTGAAAAGCGGTTATCAATCTAGAGGCTGGGACATATATGTCCCGGCCGTACTTAATGGTGGGATACATGTCCCACCTGTAGTGATCAACTTACAACAAGCACATCTATCATTCTGGAAATATTTATTCTATGGACTTTTTTTTTTACATGGTACAAGGTGAAGCAATCTTTGCGTAACCCGACATTACACATTGGACAACTCATATTTGTTCTTTTTTCTATGTTCATTTGAGAAAATATGAATGGACATAACAATCCCAATGAAGAATACGAGTGGGATATAATTGTCCCAATGAGGAATACTAGTGGGTTATATCTCTCCCAGCACAAAATCACAATGCTATTTCATGCAAGAAACTCTATAGCGCCATCTAGAGGATATTTGACTCATGAAACACGTATACTTGGTTCGACTCTACGACTGGGACATATTATAGTAAGTGCTTTTCACCCCATTAATAATTTTTAAACATTTGTTGGGACAAATAAGTCTGTTAGTAGCCAAAAGGTGAAATAGAAGTATTTAGAAAAATGTTTGTTTAAAAAACGATTTTATTTTTTTTTAAACTTCATATTAGAAATAATCAACAGCTATAAAAAGTTAATGTAACAATAAAAATAAATATGTGACAAAATGTAATTAAGCATACTAACTTTAAAGAACTGTAAAAATATTTGGGAAGGCGAAATACATTTAACGTATGCATTACAGCTTCGAAATAGTATGTGAATTGTTAAGGAACTCTCCTTTCACGTGAATCTTTCCACAACAAATTGATGGATTCTGATCTGATTCTGAAGGATCAAAATTTTGAATGGAAACATTGGACATCTTAAAAATTCTGTTTTCCAGAGTCTTTTGCTACCCTAATGCACTTTTTATCATTAGACGATTTTCGAAAAAATAAATAATTGGGGAAAGTGGCCGGTTGTTTTATTAATCTAAGTCGCCATTTTTTTTTTTTTTTTTTTTTTTTTTTTTTTTTTTTNTTTTTTTTTTTTTTTTTTTTTTTTGTCGACTCGCCACGTGTCGAGTAATTATTTTCATGCATCTCATGAACTCAATAATTAAGAAAAATAAAACTATTTATAAGAAGTAAATATAAATAAATCCTATTAATTTTGTTTTAATAGGTACTCTGAATGATATATAATAAAATCGATTTATAATGAACACTAACATGCTTATCACTACTGAAAACAATGTCTTTTGAAAACAAATGATGTTCCGGGGAATAATAATCAAAGAACAGTTCACTAATCTTAACTACTCCAGGGTGCGTAGCCAAATTATTCAACAAAAAATAAGCACCTTTTAAGCACTTTTCAAGCACTCAAATAATATTTTTAAGCACGGTAAAAAATCATAACTAGTCATGCAAAAAAAAAAAAACTTTTGGCATTGTTTTTGATAATTGTCAAAATTTTTTTATCATTTAAATCGAATGACGTTTTCATATGCTTCGGACTGACGAAACGCGAAATAGATTGGGGTTGAATTAACTGAGAAAACGTTGAATAGAACAATGTGAAACAGTGTCTTTCTGCATAATTCGTAGCGAAAATCAACATGGTAAAGGAAAAATCTCAATTTGGAAAAAGGAAAATTAAGCACCTTTTAAAAACACCCAATGAAAAAAGCACCTTTAAGCACTTTTTAAAAACGCTACGCACCCTGCACTTAATGTCTATTATTTAGGCAAAAAAAGTCCTCCTGAAAAACTTAGCTTATTTAACTATAACTATAATTTATATCAGCTATTTAGTTACTATTTTTTTTTAAACAGGGTGCGTAGCCACATCTTTCAATAAAAAAATAAGCACCTTTAAGTACTTTTTAAGCACTATATACATTAACGAAATGCAAATTAATTTTCAAAGACTTTACATGAACATAATAAAATAACTAGTTTCTGACAAAGAACTCTTTGTCTGGTTTTATTAGCCATTGTAAAATTATATTTTTCGGTTCGATATCAGAGGATGAAAAATGAAGCCTGAAATTGCAAAATGCAGCAGAGTTGCGCATGAAAGTGAAATAATCTCACCGAATCCAGCTCAGTAGACGCACATGCGGTCCCGCAAGTATTTCATTAAATATGTAAAATGATTGGCTCTTTCATACGCTATGGACCGACGGTACGACGAAATAGTTGGTGGTTGAATGAATTGTGAAAACGTTGAACAGAACAATGTGAAAAGCACGCTTCTGCATAATACGAGGCGAAAATCGAAATAGCAAAGAAAAAAAAAAATCCTTTTCGTAAAGAGAAAATTAAGCATTTTTTAAAAGCACCCAATGAAAAATGCACCTTTAAGGGCTTTTAAAAAACCAAATTCGAAAATAAGCACCTTTAACCACTTTGTAAAAACGCTACGCACCCTGTTAAAAGTATCATAAAACATAAGAAATGCGGTCTATAATTAATTACTCCGCAATAAGACACCAAGTCTTCGTTTTAAAATTAACAAAGGATAAACAAAATATACACAAAAAGGGTAACTTGATTCAAGACTAGCTGAATACCCGTTCCTCATACGGGGTGAAGAAGAAAAAATTAGTATTAAACAATATTAAGAAATCATATACGAAATTGAAAGACGTACCAACACAATAAAGCTAAAATAATTCCTTTTTTCTTTAAAAAAATATCATATTTTGTCTTTTTCTGCGACTTTACATTATTAGGTTAAGCTAAACACGTTTTTAGTAGTTCATCTCATGAATTAACAACGATCAAGTAATTTTCTCCGGTATGTATTCTTTATAAGACCGTAATAAACCTTCCAAAGCATCCATATTAAAACCGTACAGAATTGATGTAATTTTAACAGGTGCGAAATAAACTAATATAATAATACATTGTCCCTATATTAGCAAATTTGAATTTGGAACCTTCTAAAACTGCACCAATTACGATAGTATTAGTAGCGTCTATTATCAAAACTAATTAAGCATCATTGGAGTCAACAACAATATGGTGATTTTTTACGCTTCTCTTAAAAGAATAAGTACCATTTCAGTCCTTTCGCTTTTCAGTTCGAAGTTTATTGTTTTTACTTAACTAATTAAACATTACTGGCGTCAATTAATGGCATTTTCTTTTTGGTTCCCCTAAACAATTTAGTACAATATCTCCCTTAAACTTAGCATTTTATTACATAAATTGTTCGTTTTTTAAATTTGAATTTGAACTTATTATTTAAAAATTAACTGAACATCATTGGCGTCAAAATGTAATAAAATTAGTTTATAATGAAGGCTAACGTGCTTATCATTTTTAAAAATCTTAAAACAATGATTTTTGAAAACTAGAAAATAATAATCTAAGAACAATTCACAACCCTTAACATCAACGTTTATTATTTCGGTAAGGGGAGAAAAAAAATTATTTTCCGCAAAACTAATAGTTTATTTAGCTCAAACTTTTATCACCTATTTAGTTATTTCATCTTAAAAGTATCAAAAAACGTAAGAAATGTGGCCTAAAAATAATCGCTTTACATGCACACTTCAGTCGGCGAATTTACACGCTTTTCTTAACTTTGTTCTAACATTTCTCCGTTAATTTTGCTTTTTACAGCATAGCTTTTTTTTTTTCATTTTAAGTAGTTACCTATTACTGAAATTAATCAAGCGTCAATGGTTTCAATAATAGTATGACAAATTTCTAAGTTTCTACTAAGTGATTCAGTACTATTTATCAATCAGTAATGCTTTTCAGTGCATAACTATAAATAAAATAAACATGTGGAAATACTGATTTGGTGACAGTAGTCCTCAAATGTTCACGCTCATCATTGAATTTATCTGGCATAATGAATAAAAAGTAATGAGATAATTAAGAACTCTTTTTTATTTATGAGAGCTATAAGTTAGAAAACATCACTGATATTATCATTAAAATATTTATTTAAACAAAATCGTCTGCAATTTAATTTATATGAATGAGAGAAATTCCATTTTTCAAACGTCTCCCAAAAACTATCTAATTGAAATGTTTGAACGATATTTAAGGT